AAAAGGAATCTCTTTGTTCAGAGGCGCATGAACATATCAAAAAGAAGCTCTTTGTTCAGAGACGAGTGAACATCGAAAAAGCAAGGTGGCGTTCCCTAGATTGTGGAGAGTTGTCACAAACAACTGAGGATTGTTTCAAGAGAAGCAATCTTCGATGGTATTCCCTTAGACGTGGAATATTATCAAAGCGGAAGAGGATCGTTTCAGGTGAAGCAATCTTCTAATTTGGAAGCAGTTACAGGCGTAGCGGTTTTCAAGCGGGATGGCATTCTCTAGCTTGCAGGAGGTCATCATAACAATCGGTTACTTTTAGAGACGTGTGCTCGACGGTGCAAGATATGCGTTTCTTAACTCTTTTATCTGTTTAACTAACGCTAGTTTGCAGGTATTGACGTTACAAGAATGATCTAGGATCGCAGAACGTTCTGAATCATTCTCCGTCCCAATCGCTACTTTGACTTTCGTTTTCGAAACTTGCGTTTCTCCAAACTCAGTCAAAGTGGGGGCTTCTGTAGACACCCATTTGTGTCTCCCCAAAACCAAACCCAGTGATAAGTATCTTTCACGCCGAATCATAATCGAATGAAGCAAAAGTGTGGAAAGTCTAGTGTTGCGGATAGTTTTAATTTCTTTTCTCTTCTCTCTGTTTTTGAAAACTTATTTTAAGAAAACAGCCAATTCAGTTTGGTTGGTCCATGATAGTTTTAATTTGGATGGGGCTTGCAAAGACCTTTCCAACGATATATTATAAGCCCAATTCCGATGAATATTGAGGAAGTTATGGCCAATTTACCAAACTAGGCCCGGTTTGAACCTTATATGCGGCCCAATGATCTAGGGGAGGGCCTAATATAGATTTATCATTCCTAATGCAATTAGGAAAGGTTTTAGTCTTCTAGATTCTTCTAGAAGATTCTTTTCATTCCTAATTCAATTAACATTGATAAATTGACTTTTATTGACTTTTTAGAGTTTTAATTAAAATCAAATAGCATTTTTGAGGAAAATATACAGTTTTATCCTCCAGTACGGCAAACTTATCTGATTTTTGAAAACGCGTTGAAAACAGGCCTGGCGCCTGACTCCAGGCATTGGCGCCTGGAACCAGGCTTGGCGCCTGGCGCCAACCATTGGCGCCTGGTGCTAGCCATTGGCGCCTGGCGCCAGCTCTGTTTTGCGTGCGCCAATCTCTGTTTTTCGTGCGCCAAGTGCTCTGTTTTGATATTTTATCTTTTTGGCTGATTTCTCTATAAATAACGTATTAAAAACTCCGTTTTCATTCATCAACAACCAGCTTTTCAATTATAATCACCTACAACCAGTTTTCAATTCGCACTCTCTTCTCTTCCATCTTTCTCTTTTTCTAAACTTTGCTTTTCATACAAAATTCCGCATTCACAAGATCTAGAAACACTTAGCCATATTCGAACTTTCCTTCGCCCTAGACGTGAAAGGTTTAATTTCTGAGGGTTTGGTCCCAAATCTCTATTTCAATTATTTAATTTAATTGTTTTGTTTATTATTTTCCTGGAAGTTACTAACGTGTGTATTTTGTTATTAGAAAGAGGTACGAGGCATCAAAGTAAGTGCTTTAATGATTTTTATTGATATTTTGATGTAGAAATCATGTTTACGTTGTTATTATTATATTCATAGTATCATGTTTAGGGAAAGAGTTATAATATCAAATATGCTTATTGTGATTCCTGCGATGCTTCCTATGTTCTTCCTAATATTTATGATTGTTAGTATCATGTTAGGGTTAAAGATTTGATCTTTATTGCTTAGTGACATGCTAGGGTTTGTTATTAATCTTGTTAGTATCATGCCTAGGATCTTGATATTATTATGCTTTAATATTAACATGAATATGATTATGATTATAATTGTTATAATTTATGATGATTATGAATATTATTATATTTATTTTGATGATGATTATTTTATTCATGATTATTATGATGATTATTTATTGTTATTTTGCTTGATATTTATTTTTATTGCTTGATCACACCTTTTATGCATGTTTAAAGGGAATTTGTACTTGTAATCACGCTCATATAAGATAATTAATAATCTTGTTTAGGGTTAATATGATTATAATTCAAGTGATCGCCAATAATAGATTTATTTGTGCATTAAATTCAACCAACATAGATAAACAGGTTTAAGGTTAATCCTATTGATTGCATGTTAATTAAAAAGCGCACATGAATACGATCAGAATAAAGTAGAGGCCTATTATTAGGGCAGGTTCAATCTCTTTTAGGTTGGATTTGTACCTTCATCCCCGAACCCTTATTTTGTTCAAGACCTTATGGAGTTGACGATCTCTTGGATCGTTAAGGGGTGTAACCTTCACCCTGTGAACGGTTTACAAGTTCCTAAAACTTGTTGGTGACTCTTTTGCTCTATCTTCTTTCCCTTTGGAAGCCACCGTACTTTAGTGTATGATCACATTGGGGTTCAACCATGGGGTTAAAGCTTGAATTTATTCCCTACAAGGTGAAAGGGAACTTACGCAGTTGCATAATAAGAGGTTTGTTAATTGGTTTCGTGATCGAGTAATGAGTGGATTGAATGATACTTATGTGACCGATACAGTACGGTGGCTTGCGTACGGTCCTAGGCATTATGACCGTTCATTTGAGGGATATAACATCAATGGGTACACTTTTTGGACCGAGGGTTGTGATTTGAAATCTTCCTCCACCCAAAACAGTGGTGTAACTCTTGTGGCATCGTCAAGGGAGTTTGCAGGTTCTAAGGATAAATCACCTGTCGATGCAGAGTTGTCATACTATGGTCGAATTCAAGAAATATGGAAGCTTGATTGTTCAGACTTCACGGTTGCTCTTTTAAGTGTAAGTGGGTTGATAATATCAGGCATAACGTCAAATATGAGGACTTTACTCTTGTAGATCTTGGCCACTTGAATGATAGTGCGGAACCATTTATCCTTGTATCTCAAGCTATGCAAGTGTTCTACGTAACTGTCCCAATGGATTCAATATGATGCCTATTTTCTTCATTTCTCAACTTATAAACTCCTTGAATCTCAAAACATCTCATAATCACATATTTATAAGTGGTTTTCAGTTGAAATTACATAAAATTTGCTAAGTTTTAAGGTTTTGGGTCCAATTCATCAAAATAAAGCCATTTTGAGCCGAAATGCCTTCTCACTTGCCTATTTTCTTCATTTCTCAACTTGAAAAATTATTCATTCTCAAAACATATCATAATTACATATGTATAAGTGATTGTGAGTTGAAATTTCATAAAAGAAGCAAAGTTCTAAGTTTTTTGGCGCATTTCATTAAAATGAAGCCATTTTGTGCCGAAATGGCTACTCACTTGCCTATTTTCTTCATTTCTCAACTTATAAACTCCTTGCATCTCAAAACAACTTATAATCAAATATTTATAAGTGGTTTTCAGTTGAAGTTACATAAAAATCGCCAAGTTCTAAGGTTTTGGGTCCAATTCATCAAAATAAAGCCATTTTGAGCCGAAATGGCTTCTCACTTGCCTATTTTCTTCATTTCTCAACTTGGAAACTTATTAATTCTCAAAAAATATCATAATTACATATGTATAAGTTATTGTGAGTTGAAATTGCATAAAAGAAGCAAAGTTCTAAGTTTTTTGGCGCATTTCATCAAAATGAAGCCATTTTGAGCCGAAATGGTTACTGACTTGCCTATTTTCATCATTTCTCAACTTATAAACTCCTTGCATCTCAAAAAAAACTCATAATCACATATTTATAAGTGGTTGTCAGTTGAAATTACATAAAAACTGCCAAGTTCTAAGGTTTTGGGTCCAATTCATCAAAATAAAGCCATTTTGAGCCGAAATGGCTTCTCACTTGCCTACTTTCTTCATTTCTCAACTTGCAAACTTATTCATTCTCAAACCATATCATAATTACATATGTATAAGTGATTGTGAGTTGAAATTGCATAAAAGAAGCAAAGTCCTAAGTTTTTTGGCGCATTTCATCAAAATAAAGCCATTTTGAGCCGAAATGGCTACTCACTTGCCTATTTTCTTCATTTCTCAACTTATAAACTTATACATTCTCAAACCATATCATAATTACATGTTTATAAGTGATTGTTGTTGAAATTACATAAAAGAAGCAAAGTTCTAAAGTGTTTGGGCCCATTTCATCAAAATAAAGCCATTTTCTTCATTTCTCAACTTATAAACTTATTCTTTCTCAAACTATTTCAGATTTCGCATGGAAGCAAAACTTCAAAGAGAAGGAGGGTGGAGAAGCCTAAAAGAATTGATCAACCTAAGAAGAAGCTAAGTGAACAACGGTCCAAGAGTGAACAAGCGTCGAAGTTGCACTCTTCGAAAGGTTCACCCATGCCACCTACTCCACTTGTTGAAGACATTGTTCTTCAATTGCTCTCTGCTGACATGACCTTTCTTCACAACCGTGCTTGTCATTTGGTCGATCCCATGGAAGTTGCACTTCCTAAGGCAATGTTCCACTATGATGAGGATGCAGTTGCATGGATCAGCAAAGAAGATGTGAAGGAATTTCTACGTGGTGCAAAGCTTAACACACTACAAGAAAAAGGTGAATTAGGAACGGAATTTTGCGACTACCATAATAATTAGTTGCAAAAATAATTTTAGCGACTGAAAAAGACGAGTAGTCGCAAATTTTGCAACCAAATTTGCAGTAGTTGCTATGCGGTCGTTAATTAGCGACTGATTTTTGCGACTACTATAATAATCAGTTGCAAAAAATATTTTTGCGACAGAAAAAGACGAGTAGTCACAAAATTTGCAACCGAATTTATAATAGTTGCTATGCGGTCGCTAATCTGCGATGCTCTTGTAATAATTTGCAACTAACACGGTAGTCGCTACTATTATTTTTAATATTTATTAAAAAGAAATAAAAAAAACCCTTAGTATAATAAAAAAAATAAAAAAAAATCCCTTATTCCTAAAAAAAATGAAAAAAAAGGTTATTGCCGCCAAAAAAACAAGAATTATCAATCAGTCTTATACTCTTATCCACCGTCAAATACAAGAACTATCATACTCTTCCTCAAAAAAAAAAAAAAAAAAAAAAAAAAAAACCTTAATCATTTAACTCGTGAAACAAAACAAAAAAAAGAAAAAAAAATTAATCACTCTGAAAGATACACGCAGAAGGGTTAATTTTAGAGAATCAACCCTCAGCCCCTCACCGTCGTTCTTCATCTTCCTTAGCTCCACTGCGCCACCACGTCTCTTCCCAGGTAAGTTTAAATGCCTTCCACCCTTCGCTTATTGTAATTTGTCGACTATGAATTTTAGGATTATCATTGATTTTTTTTTTGGGTCCAATTATTGATTTTAATTTGGTTTCCATGGTCTAATTGAAGTCAATTAATTAAAAATCAATCAAAATTGATTGAGTATGCGAAAATCCCGAATGATTTTCAATGTAAAAATCCCATTTCTTGTTATTTCGACCCCTTTTTTTAACTATTATTTGTAAAATATATACAAGTATATTTCATGAAGAAGGGGGGGTGCAAGAATTGGGAAGTTGAAGGTGACCCAGCTTTAGAGCTTGAAGTATTGGAATTCATGAAAAATTCCAAGAAACCCCAGAAGTTTCCTAGCAAAATGGAGTTGATTGATTCAGGGAGGGTGGATTTGCTTGATGCAATAATGGAGAGAGGTGGGTGGATGACAGTGGGTTAGGAGGATGAATATGAAAATGGGATTAGTGAAAATGGGTTAGCTAGTAAAATGGAGGTAGTCTTGAGAAAGAAGGGTAAAATTGGTTCTGTAAATGAGGGAAGAAGTGGGTCAAATGCTAATGGAGAAAGGCCTTTTGAAGAGACTTCCTTTCTGGGCGATTTTTCGCCGGCGCCTTCGTCTTCTGGTCGATCACTGTGAGGACATTCTTCCTGTTTTGCTCTTTATGATTCTGTCACTTTCAATTTTCTGTTTATTTTCCTTATGAAAACCATCTATTTTGGTATATAATAATAGTAAATCACCTAAAAAGCCAATCTAAAGTTCTCTTGAATATAATCTGTTTCTGTGGATGGGTAACTTATACATTTATTTGTTAGAGGGGTCAGTCTTTGATGTCTGAAAACGGCAAGAACAAATTTTTATTATGCAGTCATAATGTCATGTAGATTGAGAGATAAGAGAGCTAGAGACATGTCGCAATAGTCCTAATGTAAAACTTTTTGTGTGCAGAGAACTGGCCGCGGAAGATGAGAGTGGGATTGAGGGTATATTGAATCGATTGGAAAGGCAGAGAAATCTGAGTTTTGGTTTCAAGTTGGGGAAGAATGGTACTAATGTAGAGAACGTCAATGGAGGTACTAGTGACCATAATCGATCCAAGGGAATAAGGAAGGATGTGGGTGAGTTGACTTTGTTTCTAATCCTGCTCTGTTTTAGCCAATTAATGTTTTTATTGATGTTATCAATTAGGTGAACTCTGACTAGTTATTATATTCTATGTTTCCTAGCTTTTGAATTTCTCATTTTCTGATCCAGTATCATTCAATGTATGAATTCATTATTCCATTTAGAGATGCTTTATGTTGGAAGGAATTGGTGGATGGCAGGTGTTTATGGGGGTCACAGGGTGGAGGTGGAGTCTTTCATTGCCTGAAAGTGTTTACCTTAATCTATCATGTGAATGGTTGATCTGTATATTACATCTTCAATGTCTTTTGTTTTTCTGTAAAACCTGTTAAACTATCATGTGACATGTAGTTTTTACGTTGTAAAAGACAGTAGCGATCCTCAAATAAGTGAACCTGCATCACTGAGCCAAGATAGACATCTGATCAGTAGCAATGGGTTGAATAGATCATATTCCAATAGGTTAAGTATGAAGCCAGATGCATGGAGATCATGGAGTATTCAGAGGGATGGCTTTTCAGACACAGAATTTGAAGGTATTGTTATCCCTTAGCCCAGTTGGGCTGCTAGTACTCTAGATTTGTACTGTGTTAATTAACCTCTATAATTACTAAAATCATCCTCCTCTCCAATTAAGCTCAGCTGGTGAAATTGACTTCGGCAAAAGAGGTACAGGGGGTTTGTTGTTAATTGAATTCTCGTTTTGCTCTGAATTCCTGTTCATTAGAGGGTATTGAGGCTCGCTAGTTATAATTAAATTCTTGTTTGCTCTGATTTTATTATGTTTTTGAGCCTAATTTGCTGCTGGTTGATTGTCATGGCAACTGTTGTGGGTGGTTGCTAGAATAACAGTATGTTAATTGAGTTTGCTCCTAATTTGAGCTGTGGGGCAGCAAGTTATTCTAATTGGATATAAAAATTTACCTTGACCCGGCATCGAATGCATAAATGCATTCACTCATTCTGTTTTCTGAGTATCTGCTTGGTCTGAATTCACTTCACCTCTATATAATGTGTAATCATGGATCACTAATTTGGAGAATTGGAGTTGCTTTTGGATTGGAAATGTGTTTGGAGTTATTATGAAGTTAAATATATTAGCAAATCATTAAACCGAATTGGTGCTGGAGTTATGCATTTCAACTTCAGGTTTCTATAGTGAACATATAGCTGTTGTGAGTTGTGCAAACTACTTGGGTAAGGACTCAGGGAGTCAGGGGTGAAGAGCTTGTAATTAAGCATGCAAGTTTCTTGGTCATTCACTGTTAACTTGACTAAGAAACTATCAATAGTGTTAATTACATACTACGTATGTTGATTTTGATATCCTCACATTTCCCACTACCCTCATCTTCTTATCTGAGTTGAATAAGGTGTATTGTTGTCATTGTCAAATCCGGTTTTATTTCCCAATATCTATGTGACATCAACCTTGGCCGTTAGATGAGGATACCATTAGATGAGGATAACCACAATGCAAATTAGTCTCAAAAACATAATAAAATCAGAGCAAATTAGGGGCAGCAATTTAGGGGCTAGAATAACAGTATGTTAATTGAGTTTGACCCTAATTTGAGTTGTGGGGCAGCAAGTTATTCCTTATTACGCTCTTGTAATAAGGTGTTAGTTAATTGAGTTGTGGGGCAGCAAGTTAGGGGCTAGAATAACAGTATGTTAATTGAGTTTTTTGTCCAATTTTTGATTTTAATTGGGTTTCTATTGCGAATTGATATTAATCTGATTATTGATTGAATTGCAAATTGGTTTAATCTGATAATATCACAGATGCGAGAATTATTCTTGAAAATAATATGAATTAAGTAACTAGAATTAGGAATTAGTATTTCTCGATTATGTTTATGGCTTATAAGGGGTTATTCTTAAAAATAATACGTAGTAAGTAACTAGAATTAGGAATTGCGAATTTTAGGGTTATCATTAAGTTTTTTTTGTTCAATTTTTTATTTTAATTTGGTTTCTATTGCCAATTGCGAATCCAGAAATATTGTTTTTTGTTTTTTTTTTACATACTGTCTTCACATTAGAGTTACGATTAAGCTTAGGTCTAATAAAGTTCAGCTTCCTCCTCTCAATGGCATATGTACATCAGGAACAATGCAAATATTGGTTCACAGATGTAGCAGTTAGATACTATAGATAACGCAGCACCTGCTACTTCAAATAAAAATCCAAATGTCTACATAAATTAATTTTAATACATATAATAACTTATGTTTCAGAATTTAGGACTTTAAATAGGCTACAGTTGTGTGAGTAAAATGTATGAAACAGAGCAAAGACGTTGCATAAAACTTCCAAGGAAAACAACCCTTAGAGAAGTTTGACCCTGGCCATCGCCAAAGGTAGCATATCTACTCCTCAAGTGGTTAAAAAAATGGTAAGTGTATGATTTTAGCAGCAAACTTATGATTTTATATAAGATTGAAGAAAGTAGAAAATTTTTAGCCACTAAGCGATGACAATAACTAGCCTTTATTACAATTGCTCTGTAGTCTATGTCCCCAATTTTTTATTGTATTTTTTTTAGTGCTAACAACTTATTCTTATACAAGGCAAAGAAAAAGGATGGAATTTTACCAACTGCTGCTGAAGTTTATGAGAGCACTCATTCTGTTTGTGTGGGCAATGATGAAGTTGAATTGATGGGTGACAAGTCTTAAAAAGTCATGGTATGAGTATACTTCTATATTTTGCTAATATTACAAAAAATATATATATGGTAGTTAATGTTTGGAGATATTATAGATTGTTTATTTGTTTGTGTGATTGAGTTGGAGGATGAGAATGATTTGCCGGCATTAATCATATGATTAATGTGGTATGGCACAATGTGAATTGAGACAGGTTTATTTTGAAGCCATACCCTATAGGAGGGGATTCTTCAATTTACAAAGGAGACTCTGCCGAAATTTTTACTAATAACTGCTTACATAAATTATTTTGCTATAAGTGTTGCATTTTTTATTTTAACTTTTTTTTTTTTTAATGTTTTTAGTCTTTTTAAGTTTTAACATTTGAGATCATAGTTACTAATACATATCTTAATGCAGGGAGAATATATGGAAAAACTTGAGGAATATAAGAACAAAGGAATTGAGATAAACCCCAACAAAGTCTATTTGGAGGTTGTAGGTGGACAAAAGAAAGGAAAAGTCTACGGTTTAGGGAGTGCTTCACAAATGTATTACAAGAGCGATCCTGCTTCTCAACTTACGACATCATCTTTTACTCCTTCCATGATTTCTCAATTAAGCTCTCAAGTTGAAGAATTAAAGAAGATGGCAGAAGAAAACCATAACAAGGTAGAAGAAAGCCAAAAAATAGCGGCAGAGAGCTTAAAATATGCTAAGGAATTCGTCGAAAATCATGAGATCGAAAAAGCTACATGGAAGAAGGAAAAATTAGCTATGCAAAAAACATTGCAGGAAATGGTATCACTTGTCAAACAAGGTTACCGTCCTTGCAAGCCTCCTACGCCTACAGTCACCCGCTCTCGTGATACAACTAAGTGATTTTTATTTTCTTGGTGGTAATTTTGTGAACAACTGGTTTTTTTTACATCGTCATTATTGGTTCTTATTTGAAGTAGCTTTCTTGATATGGGAGGTGACTTTTGAAACAATTAGTCATATGAGTTAAATATTGTTTTTTAATACATTGATACAAATTTGATGATATTTTGGTTATTTGAATAAAATTAACATTTTAATTTTTTGAATTTATGCGTGGGTACCTTTTTTTTGTGATTGATATTGGTTGTCGCTAAATTATGGTCTCAAATATTGATTGTCGGTCGCAAATATTTAGCGACTGCAAATTTGGTTTAGAGACTGATTCGTTAGTTGCAAAATAATTAGTCTTATTAGTCGCTAATCTGTCACAAATAATTAGTTTTGTAGTCGCAAAAATTTGTTTCGTAAGTAGTTGCTAATTTGTCGCAAAAAACATTAGTCTCAGTAGTCGCAAAACCATCGCAATTAAACTACTCTTCGTAGTCGCAATAGTTTAGTCTCATAGTCGCAAAAGTTTGGTCTTGTAGTCGCTAATCCGTCGCAAAGTAGTCTTAAAACATTGGTCTAAGTAGTTGCTAATCCGTCGCAAATATTTTACGACGGGCAATAATTTAGTTGCTAAAATTTGAAAGTTAGTCGCTAAATGATAGTTGCAAAGGCGTTGCAAATCCGTCGCTAAATTTGCAACTGTCCAAAAATTAGTCGCAAAAATAGATTTGCGACGAGGTCTTTGGCAACGAACCAAAGTAGTCGCAAATCCGTCGCAAATCCATTTTTGCGACGGATATGCGATTACATTGGCCGTCGCTAATCACCCTTTTTCTTGTAGTGACATTTCCCTCATTCAAACATTCATGAGGTACTTCAATGCCCACATAATCTATACTTTTTCAAGTTATTGAAATTGATGGTGATTATCCTACATCTGATTAATTATTCAATGTTCATGCACGCAGAGCACTACAGGAGCACTTAATTGAAACTGATTCTCCTTGTAAAGTTGGGTGGTTATGCCCCGAGCAGTTATCCACTACTAGAATCATAGGCAACCCTCATGATGTGTTGTACTATGTTGAACAGAGTATCAGGGAATCAGTGCGTGCGGGAGACAAGTTCATATTCGCCCATGTTATAGAGAGTAAGTCTAACCATGTCAAATTTAATCGATTTGTCCTCATTTTATGTTGACTCCTAAATATTAATTTGCTTGTCTATTGTGAAATTATGTAGGGAGCATTGGAGCCTCATGGTGATTTGTAATTCCAATAACTCAAATTTATCACCTTGATTCAGCTCGATCATCGGAGAAGTGGCTCGTGAAGTCTATATTGTAAAAGTAAATATATATATAGCAACCTAGTGATGATTATTGTTAATAATAACTAATTTAGTAGTCATACGACTAATCAAATTTGAATGTACTTTTTTTTACTACAGTGTTATGAAGAAAGCTACATTGTCGTGCTCCAAAGGGTCCAACATGGAAGTCACCGTTGGTAATTTACATGATATTATGATTATCTTGAAAATCTATGTTATTAAATATTTGCTCATTTCCTTTGCATGTTTCACTGATGTGATTTGTTTGTCATATGCTAGTGCACACAACAAGAGAATGGACTTGATTGTGCTTTGTATGTGATGAGATTCATGCTTGACATTGTGACTCATTGTACGGACACTCAACAGCTTGATGAGGTAAGTCCTAAAACTTAATGAAATGCTATTTTGATGTGATATCTAGCCTTATACACCTATTATTACCCAACAATGACATGTTATGAGAAACAAAAAGACCATTTCACAAGAAAGGTAGAAAATGGGCTGAATAGAAGTCATATAGGCCATATTTCGACCATTTTGTGTTAATATGCTCTTTTGATGTGATTTCTTTCCTTATACACCTATAACTAGATAATATTGACATGTTATGAGATAAATAAAGTTCATTTAATAAAAAATGTAGGTTATGGGCAAAGTAAAGTCATATAGGCCATATTCGGGCCATTTTGAGTAAAAAGCGTCATAAACCTTAATAAAAAGCTCTCCTATACAATTTTAGGGCTTACACACATACAATTACCCAACATTGACATGTTATGAGAAAGAAATAGTTCATTTGATAAGTAATGTAGGAAATGGGCTACATAGAAGTCATATAGGCCCTATTTGGGCCATGTTGAGTAAAATGTGTTGTTAAACTTATTGAAATGTTATATTGATGTGATTTCTAGCGTTAGACACCTAATATTACCCAACAATGACATGTTATGAGAAACAAAAAGGTCATTTGACAAGAAAGGTAGAAAATGGGCTGAATAGAAGTTATATGGGCCATATTAGGGCCATTTTGTGCTAATATGCTCTTTTGATGTGATTTCTTTCCTTATACACCTATAACTAGATAATATTGACATGTTATGAGATAAATAAAGTTCATTTAATAATAAATATAGGAAATGGGCAAAGTAAAGTCATATAGGCCATATTTGGGCCATTTTGAGTAGAAGCGTCATAAACCTTAATAAAATGCTCTCCTATACAATTTTAGGGCTTACACACATACAACTACCCAAAATTGACATGTTATGAGAAAGAAATAGTTCATTTGATAAGTAATGTAGGAAATGGGCTACATTGAAGTCATATAGGCCCTATTTGGGCCATGTTGAGTAAAATGCGTTGTTTTTTTTGAAAAAAGGTAAAATTATAATAACACCAAGAAAAGAATTACACCAATACAAGGCCCCAACAAAGGGCACAGCAAAAAACCAACAACTGCAATAACCTGCAGAACCAAAAAACAAGCAAAACTACAATCAAGATACAACCAGGGACAACAAGACTCCCGCAACAACAACTAACTGATTAAGCATCTAGACCACTCCCTATTTCTCTTACTCGTTTTCTTAGGCATTAACACACTGATTCTATGATAGATATCCCACAGTAGCTGCTTCATCACATGCTGAGGACTTTGCAGACAGAGATCCCACACAGCCTTGTTCCTCTGCTGCCAAACAGAATACAACAACCCAGCATAGCAACTCTGAATCACCTGTCTTCTAAACCGTCCTGCAATAGTTTTCAACTTGTCATTACAACTCTCCAGAGTACTTGGGTCACAATTATACCCAGTCACCTTGTCAATAATCCTGTAGCATTCCTTAGTGTACTGATACTCAAAGAACAAATGCTCAACTGTTTCATCAAATAGTCCACACAAAGGACAATCTGAAGCATCAATAATTCCTAATCTAGCCAATCTTATTCTGACTTTAATTCTTCTCCACACAATCATCCAACTAGCGATACTGTGTCTTGGAATATTCATTCTATTCCAAACCCAGTTACACCAAGGCACATCCTGATGCTCTTCTTTCAACCAATTATAACCACTAGCAACTATGTAATCTCTTCCAGTAGCTAACCACTTGCTACCAGAATATCCAGCTTTGAACTTTTCCTTGAGCTTCCAAAACTGCTTCCAACTCCAACTAGCAGAATTAGAACAAGGAGCCCTTTTCCAAAATGCGTTGTTAAACTTATTGAAATGCTATATTGATGTGATTTCTAGCCTTAGACACCTAATATTACCCAAAAATGACATGTTATGAGAAACTAAAAGGTCATTTGACAAGAAAGGCAGAAAATGGGCTGAATAGAAGTCATATGGGCCATATTTGGGCCATTTTGTGTTAATATGCTCTTTTGATGTGATTTCTTTCCTTATACACCTATAACTAGATAATATTGACATGTTATGAGATAAATAAAGTTCATTTAATAAAAAATGTAGGAAATGGGCAAAGTAAAGTCATATAGGCCATATTCGGGCCATTTCGAGTAAAAAGCGTCATAAACCTTAATAAAATGCTCTCCTATACAATTTTAGGGCTTACACACATACAAATACCCAACATTGACATGTTATGAGAAAAAAATAGTTCATTCGATAAGTAATGTAGGAAATGGGCTACATAGAAGTCATATAGGTAATATTTGATAAAATACATATTATTTTGCCTAATTAATTAATTTTAACATAATATTTTTGTATTTCAAGTTTTGCAAGGTCCAAAAGGATGGTCCGTTGACAGTCAAGGAGCTTAATGAAGTTCGTGACATGTTGGCGTCTTTTATCACCTTCAACATGTAAATGGCATTGTAATTGTAAATTATTTATGTTAACTTTTGAACTATATAACTTATTATTCATTATATATTTACTTACTATTATTTGTATATGTAAGAAACTTTTTTTTTTACTGTATTGCGTTTGGGAATATTTATATCTATATATATAATTGAATTCTTGTTTTTAATATTATTTTTGTTTCTTATTGTAATAATTAATAATATTATTATTAGTAATTATAATAATAATATTATTATTTATTTTATTTAATATAATTGCTGGAATTACAGGTTATTATTATTGCTGGAAACATGTTTTTTTTTAAATATTATTGCACGAAAATTGGAAAAAAAAAAATTATTGGGTGAATAGGCACCGGTTAACCGGTGCCTAAAATAGATACCACCCAAAAAAAAATGGCGGGAGAGCAGTTAAAGGCACCGACTAACCGGTGCCTAATTGGGTATATGGCACCGGTTTTGAACCGGTGCTAAAAAGGGGGGTTTTTGGCACCCCCCACATAGGCAGCGGTTCAAACCGGTGCCTTAGACTGGGTTTGAACCGCTGCCAAAGCACTCTTTTCACCTAGTGCCGTGAGAGGTGGCCAAAAGCTTCCATACATTCATCTCCACCTTGGTCTTTTGTAATTGTTTGGCCACATCGTTGTTCAC